ATGTTTCTGTGTATGTATATGGTAAACAAATGTGAAGCACAAGTGTGCTCTACTCTGATATTATCAGAGGACTCTACTTTGGCTAGGATGTTATTCCACTTCCTCTTGCCTTCTGGGAATTGCAACAAGATTTTTCATTAAATAATGCTGCCTGCTTATATTAAGTCAGTGTGCCCAAATTCAAAACAGAGAAAAAATGCTTTCTAAATGTAGTCAGGTGGTTCTAGAATTGTAAGTTTCATATACTTAGTTGATTTTCTTTAAAGGTTGTAACTTTTTCCGTACTTCGTAATGTTTTGGCTTGTTTGATGTTTATTTAATCTTACAGATTTTAATTCCCTTCTGTAGGTATCTTTGATAAGTGCGATTACTTTAAAATTGTTAATTGATATTAATAAGTCTGTTGACCTCTAATTGTTGGAATTTGGTCTTAGTAAACTAATGGCCTGAATATCTAGTTATGAGCAATCAATTATGCTAATGAAATTAAGAACTCTAGATTTTGGCTTTTATTTTTACCTTTTGTAGGTGTTTATTTGTTATTTGTGTCTTTTCTGGAAGCAGTGGTTTCTTTATGGTTTTTCCGTTATAACTATATGAATGTAAACTGTAATGGGTTGTTTCATTAGCCCATGAATTGACTACGTTAATTTCAGCCAGTGTTACAGATAGGGTGGCCATCATAGAGGACATTCTGGTTTTGTGCTACTCTGTCCTCTGTCCTCTATTGATATGAAACCTGACACCTTTATCTCCTCTATTTTTCTCTTCAATAAATTTTCTTCAAGAGAAAAATAGAGGACATAATGGTGTTGGGTTTTGTATCAATAGAGGACAGAGGACAACCGGACTGTCCTCTATGATGGCCACCCTAGTTACAGACATCAGAGTCTCAAGTTCTGGTCACTGCTTTGGTGCTTACATGGAACAAGATGAAGAATGAATCCAGTGCCACAGCACACTGTTGCAAAGTGTGATTTAGCAGTGAATAATGACAGATGAGGACAATGATTCTATGATGTGTCAATAACCTTTCCAAGAAGGTCAAAGCATCTTTAATTCAAGAAATTTGTAAACAGATGAGAACATTCATTCTCCATTGGACTGATAGGGTCTAGTATGAACTTTAAAAAGAACTATAGAGAAGTGCATAATCAAGGAATGATAGTTAAATAATAGTTTAACAGAATGTTAATATTGCTATTTTATTAGCGTTACATTTTTAAAATAAAATTAAAGAATGTCAGGATTAGTTTCTTTTCCTGCCTGTTTTCAGCTAAAATTAGATTTCCTAGATTTGATAGATTAATTTATCTTTCACTTAAACTTTCTAAATCAAGAATGGCTGCATTAAAGTCAGTGGACCAGATCCTAAGGTGATGTGAATCAACAAGGATCTGACTTGTTGTCTCACTATTAGTAAGATCGTTAATAGATTTTCTGTTATAAATGTAGATCCTATGTCTTTTATCCCAATGTTACTGAACCATATCTTAATCAACAAGACTATATCTTAGTTTCCTATTTAGCACTTTTTCTTTCATCTTAACCAAAACTCTTATCAGTTTCAAATGATTTTTCTCTTCAATAATGCACAAATACGGTACTTAACAATATAGAACACAAAGCAAAAAGAGGTATTAGGTTTTTACTTTTGGATTTACATTTTTCTGCTCCATTGTGGCTAGTCTATTATGAATTATTACATTTTTGTTCAGTTTTTCCAGTTTTGTTCCTCACTCAAACTGTTGGCTGAATGACATGCATATTAAAGTTTTGGGGCATATTCTGTATATTACTAGGACATATATATTTTCTGTAATATTTATATAATGCCTATATCCTTGGAGATCCATAATGTTAGGAAATTCTGTGGTTTTTCTTACATTTTAATAAGAAACATGTTTAGTTTTTATACTCACTTCTATTGCAATAGTGCCCAGATCAGGTAGTTAGAACATTATTGTACTAGGTGCTGTACAAACAGGTAAGATAAAATTATTCCCAGAAATTCCCCAAAATAGAAGTACTATTTAACTGGTGAATAAATTTAACACCAGTGTTGCTCTCTTCAGAGTACTGCACATCACAACTGGGAATAAAGGTGTGCTGAGAGCAACCTTCACCTCTGCTCTCAAGCATACTAGAGGCAGAGATCTTGATAGCAGTGCTGGCTGATGCCCTTATATGCCTCATTCCCAGATTTGGCATATGAGGAGTGCTGAGTGTGTTGCCCGTGAGAGTACAGAAGAAAGAGTATTGAAATGCTCAGAAAAACAATAGCATTCACTTCCCAGGAGCTAGAAAAGAGAGAGAGTCCCTATGTATCTCCACCAAAATTGCCAGGCAGACAGCGAAGCTTACTTCTACAGCCAAAGGGAGGAGGAGGAGAGAGGGAATGTAGTGCTTTAGGGCCTTGTCACATATTCACTTGCAACAGTTGTAAATCTTTGGCATGTTTTGATCTGTTGAAGTTAGTACATGTTAAAGGTACAACTTTGCAACACCACTAAAACATACTAAACTCCTAGAACATGGATCTGCTTACATTTTAACTGCACTTAGTAAGGGCACTTAGCATGTGTTTTATTTAGATTGTATTATGCTTTTCCATGCCATATTAAAAACTAGACTGCGTTCTGAGTAGTTGTACAGTAGTGCTTACCATAGCATTACCTGCTCAACCTGCTCTGGACAGGGATGAACCTGGCTATGCCCCTGCAACACTAACCCTGGCACTGGGCCCTGCAGCTTGTACATCCATGCCAATAAAGATAACAAACTGATTGTCGGTCCTGACCCTGGCATCGCACCAAAACCATGAACTCATAGTATCTCCATGGAGAAGTCCAACAATAGCTGAACACATGCTCCTTAATATGTTCTAGAGATATTCTTCCCATGAAAAGTCAGAATTCTGCTACAAAACAAGTGTGTTTAGCATGTGTTTTACTGCTTGAATGCAAGGATACTCAGGTTTAAGTGCAGTTAATATGTTCTGTGTACTGTGCAACATGAACAAATGTGTGAAACTTAAACCTGAGATTGCTTAAACTTTCTAAGCAATCATTAGGATGGGTTACCACTTTGTCTGTGTGCATGGATCCTTTTTGAAAGGGCATGTAACAATCCCATTTTGCTCTCATTTTAGACTCAGAGGTTTAACCCTTTGGCTAAAAGATGTCTGGTAAGATTTTTTAAGCAATGTTTTTATTTTTATTTTGCACTGCATTATAGTTTAATGATTTTTTATTACAGAACACTGTTATCATAGAATGCATTTGCCCATAGAGGAAAATGCTTCATATATGAAGAGTAATACATTCATTTTTATGCACCTCTGGTTCTCCAGGGAATCTTACAAAATCGCATGATGCTCAATTTAGTGTTTATATTTTATACCTAGCTTAAAGGTGCTTAAAATTACAGTTAAGCAGAGCAATTTCCATTGACTAACCATTGGAGGAGTCAGTGGTGCTTTGTTCATTTCAGCAGGCACAAGAAATATCTTGTGTTTATTAATTATGGCAGGGCTACATATATTTTCCATCTGAGTACCTGAATAACTGTTAGAGTCAAAGCTTCCAACTTTTATGGAAACCATGCCTTGTGTGTGTATATATATATATATATATATATATA